GAAAACACCACCAAAATACATTCAAGTACACAGAAATTACCATTTTCAGTCTTACCTACTTCACTTTTTAAAAGCAAATGTGGAGGAAGAGGTCCCCCCACAGCTGAGCTGGAACCAGTGACACCTCTAGCTGCTTCCTGTCCTGCAGTGTGGTTATCACCTGCTGCTGGCTAGGGAAGGGAATAAAGGAAAACCTCAGCACAGCAGTGTACAAGTCATTTTACAATTTAGCTAGAAACTGTTCAGGAAGTTTAAAGACCTCAGGCAACATCATGCAACAGTTATCCCCAGTAAATATGCAATATTTACTACACAAAAGCAATCCCAATAACAACACAACTGTGAATATTTTAACACTGAACTGCCAAGAAACTAATTGACACATTAAAACCAAAATAGGAGTCCTGCTCCCACTGGGTTCCACCACGGCTGATGAGGCAGGGAGGCTGCTTCCACTCAGAAAACTCATATATCCTCAATGGAGCACTAGAGGAAGATTCTTCCCTCTCAACAGGTAACACATGACTTCATATTTTATTTATTTCTCTGAACTTGCTGTAATGACAGTTACCCTCCTTTTCCTCTGCCTTTAAGTGATAGTCACTGTTGACTGTTCACAAAATATCATAAAAAGTACTGATCCTGTTACACATCTGAAGCAATTAAGGTTTAGAAATGCCAGATTTTCAATGTCTGGTTTGATATATCTTTGATTATTATTTTTGGGTTTGGTTTTGGTTATTTTTAAAGCACACAGGATTTTATATATATAATTAGAACAAGGTTTTAAGACTTCAAAGTGTCAGGTGTGAGTACTCAGCAATTTGAAAGCCAGGCTGCATCTCACAGGAACTCCGAATTCTTTCCAGCCTCTTCAGCTTTGCATCATTTGATCTGGTAAATACAACATGCAGCTGTATTTACCAGATCACCCTACAACATTCAGCTGGACCTGATAATCTCAAAGGCCTTTTCCAACCTAAACGATTCCATGATTCCATGATATTCTGTATGTGCCCCAGCCTTCCAGTAGTGTAAGAATCCCTCACATTCATCACTGCACAGGGGCACCAGACTGAACTCCAGGGATGAAACACACCTGGGAGCATGGCAGCACAACAACAGAGCAGTCTTTGGTAAGGGGAAAGAGCAGCTTACTCCAAAAGCAGGGATTTCATCCTTCTTCATTTCGTTCACCCGCACTAAGTAGTTGATGAAGTCTCGGGCAGCATTGCTCTGAGCATCCTTCTTGTTGGTAGAGTTGCCCATGCCAACATAGTTGAAGCCTTCCACTCGGACCTGCAAGGAACAACACACTGCTCATGAGCAGCTGAAAGGGGCTTGGGGGCCAGCAACACCCACAGGAACACCAAATCCTGGCTGCTGCTAAGTACAGGAGAAATAATATTACTAACTGTTGTTACATATCATAACTATATATTTCCGTAAGTTTTTAAAAGCAAACCCTTTTATTCTGAGAACTTCTCTCAGAGCACAAGGGCTTCCCAAAACTTTGTGGAATAAAAACCAGTGTAGGAAGGGAACCTGGCAACATAGAGCAGCAAACTCTGCACAAGGTCACTTTCTTCAACCTAAATCCCAAACTCTTGGACAACAAAGACAGGAGTGACCTTCAGCCAGTGTGTCCACTCAGCCACAGCTCCATGTTATTCCAACTATACAGCTCTGGCTGCCCTGGAAGCATTCAAGGCCAGGCTGGATGGGGCCTGGAGCAAGCTGGGATAGTGGAAGGTATCTGTCCATGGCAGGGAGTGGGACTGGATGAGTTTTAAGGTCCCTCCCAACCCAAACCATTCCACGATTCTGTGAATGTATCTATTCGTGGAGTGGGACTGGATGAGTTTTAAGGTCCCTTCCAACCCAAAGCATTCCACGATTCTGTGAACTATCTATTCATACAACCATTCTATCTGAGTATTGCTTAACCAGTTAGGATACCTTGAAAACTGCTTTACTGCCACTGTGTTTCTCTGTTTTCTTACTGACATACAAGACAAATAGGGGAGGGAAGGCTAAAATAGCAAATTTAAGGTGTTTAGTGCAAATTCATGGCATCACTCATGAACTGATCTGTTCTACACATGGCCTCACACTTAGTGCCAGCTACCTGTCAGAGCCAACCTAAATTCACAGCTCCCACATCCGCAGTATCTAGAGGCAGGAGTAAGGTGCTATTAGAGCAGTGCAGAGTAGCAACCATTGCCGAAAGAGTTCTTTAATACACTTCATCTCAAGTTCAAGAGCAGACCAAAGCTCTTGGCAAAGGTGACATACAACACCCCTCACCAACTATTTTAACTGCAAGAAGGGTCGCACACAGTGCAGGGACACACCACCCTTAAATAAACCAATCTGTTTTCCCTGTAAGAACATCATTCGGGATTTCTCCCTCCTTTCACACCTCAGTGCACACTCAGCCTGGATGGACACTCTGGCTCAAAGTGCCCCAGCCCTCTCCAAGCCTCGGCTTCCAGTGATTCCCACCCAGGCCGGGCAGGGTCCAGACCCCAGACAGGACCCCAGACCCTCGGTGCCGACCCCAGGTTCATTCTGGCAGAGCCCAGGCCCCGGCAGCATCCCCAGCAGGGCCCAAGGTTCCTCTGACCGAGCCGCCAGCCCTGCTCCCAGACCCGGCACTGATCCCACGTTCCCGGGGGCAGAGCCCGGCTCCGGCCCGGCACGATCCTCGGCATCACCCCGAGACCCCGGCAAAGCCCAGACCCCGGCGGACCTCAGATCCCCGGCGGACCTCAGATCCCCGGCAGGGCCCCACATTCCCCCTGACAGGGTGCTCAGACCCCCTGCACAGCTCCTGGCCCTCCCGGAGCGGACCCGTGCTGGCGGCACGGCCCAAGCTCCCTCGGGGAGAGACCAGGCTCCCGTCACGGCCTGCAGCACAACCCCCAGACACCCGACAGAGCCCCGGCAATACGCCCAGAGCCCGCCCAGGAGGGTGCCAGTCCCCTCTGTGTCCCCGGCACAGCCCGGAGCCCCCTCACAGCCGCTGCCATCCCCCACAGGGCGGCCAGCCGCTCCCCGGCGCGGCAGGCCCGCACCTCGCAGAGGAAGGTCTGCCGGCCGCGGCCGCCGGCGGCGCGGATCTCGTAGGCCGGCATCACCCTCCTCCGGCCGCACCAGGCGTACAGGTAGTTCTTCACGTCCCCCATGGCCGGGCCGGGGGCATCGGGGCACGGCCGCCCGCTCCAGCCGGCGCCGGGCCGCGGCAGCTCCGCACGGCAGCGCCTGCGCGGCGCCAGACGGCGGCCGGGAGGGAGAGCGGGAGCGCGCCCGGCCCCGGCACCGCTGCACCGGGCCCGTCTGAACCACCTTCTAATGGGCTTCCTGCTGAATAGTGCGTGCTTCTCAGGCGGTCAAAGTGTTTCAGTTTAAACAATCACAAGAAGTGTAGAGGAGTGAGGCAAAGTATAGATGTGGAGCAGATCAGGCTGATTTTTTTAGATCTTGGAAATTTGGAAATGTCCTGGACCATTTTTTCCAGATCCGAGAAGAGAGGGAGGCTTTACCTGTGAAGAATTTTGAAAGTGAAATTCTGGACGCAATCCATCACAATTCTGTTGTTGTCATCCGTGGTGCCACTGGTTGTGGTAAAACCACTCAAGTGCCCCAGTACAAACCAGTCCTCTCTCCCCCCCTTCCAGCCACCCTGCAATCATTGTTTTCATGAGGAGTTGTCAGGGCATGGCACCCCTTGTGTGTCAGCCACAGGGATCATCAGAGACCAAGAGGATCAGCGCAGGACAGAACAAAATGCACATTCCAATCATTTCAATCTGACATCAGGTGAGTTGCTCTGGTGAGACCCCCACCTACAGAGCTGCCTCCGGCTCTGTGGCCCCAGCATCAGGACATGGAGCTGCTGAATTGCCCCAAACACTTCCAAGCCAATGTCCAAATGTGGTATTTGCTTTACCCAGCGCGCCGGGTGCGCGGGGATCACCCCTCCTAACGAGGCACACCCAGGCACATAGTAAGTTACAATATATGGTTCCAGTCCATACATATTCATGGTTTGCCTTAGAAAAGGCGTGGTTATGCAGAATATTTCTTAGAATGATTAGCATTAGCACACGCGAGGCGCAGTGCACCCTGCTGGCCGCGCTGAGGAAGGCTCCGCGTCCCCCTCGGTGCTCCTTTGATGAAGGCTGGAGTCTTCCTCGCCGTACCCTTTCCACCTTTCTCCTCCAGGCATGGGCACTCTCTTGTTAGCTGTTTCAGTGATTCCTCACTGGTTTTAGTAAGTTTTGTCCTCCATTTTATGCAAGTTTTGGTCGCTATTTCTTGCCAAATTTAATTCTGTGTCTTTAGCTTGTGGCTTAATATTTGCTGGCTTCTGTATTGGTTATGCTGTATCTTATTCTTGCCCAAGTATGCCTAGGCACAGTGCTTTTAACCCTTTCAGGAGCGAGTCCAGAGAAGGCCTTGAGGATGCTCCACAGGCTGGAGCCCCTCTGCTCTGGAGACAGGCTGGGAGAGCTGGGGGTGCTCAGCTTTGAGGAGAGAAAAGGAGGCTCAGGTGACACCTCAGAGCCCCTTCCAGTGCCTAAAGGGGCTTCAAGAGAGCTGGAGAGGGACTTGGGACAAGGCCTGACATGACAGGACAAGGGGGAATGGCTTCCACTGGCACAGGGCAGGGTCAGATGGGATATTAGGAAGAATATTTGTTGTGAGGGTGGTGAGGCCCTGGCACAGGTTTCCCAGAGAAGCTGTGGCTGCTCCATCCCTGAAGTGTCCAAGAACAGGGTGGACTGGGCTTGGAGCAACCTCAGATAGTGCAAGGTGTCCCTGGTCATGGCAAGAGATGGAATGGGAACCATTCTAGGTTTCTATGATTGTATGCCTTCCTAACCTGCATGACAGCTTTCTGCACTGCCACATGGAGATGCACAGCTCAATTGTGGCTTCATTTCTGTTCTAAGGAAAAAAAATGGGAGAAATACCTGCTTATTAGTGATCCAAAATTTGCTGTCACAAAAGGGACTTCTTTTTTTAATTTTGCATTAAGGTGTAGAAACACAGAGATCAGACAGAAGCAGGATTTTACATGCACAGACAATGTCCCAGTGACTCTGATGAACAGATACCAGCCTGAGCAACCTGATGGTGTCATACTGTTGTTTAAATCCACAATGTAGTGTCCTCATGGAGAGGACAAAACACCATCCAGCTGAGAGTGGGTAGAGACAGATCTTCCTCCTTTCTAGGCAAAAGTCATCAGCATTCTCCTCCAACTGGGAAAAAATTGTATTTTTTAATTAAACAATTCCAGTCAGTCCTGGAACGTGCAGAGCTCCAGGGGAGCAGTGTAAAATGTCAGGCACATGTGCCCCAGCAAAGCCAGCCCTGACAGGAAGGGGCTTGGGCACATTGCCAGTTCCCTGAAAGAAATCCTGCCCATCATGTGGGGGATGTGTCACATGGCAGAGAATCCCAGAAAAGAAACCTCCAGATGGACATGAAGTGAACAACATCATACACGTGGCACTTGAGGATGTGGCTTAGTGGTGCACTCAGGAGTGTCAGGTTAGTGGTTGGGCCTGGTGGTCCTAGAGGTCTTTCTCCATGTAATGATTCCATGACTCCATGATCAGTCACCATTAGGCCACACAATGCTGTCCAGCTTGGCTTTGGCCTTTGCAATGAACTCACTGGAGGCAGCAACAAGCGGAAGCCGTGGAGGTCCCATGGGAATGCCAGAGACAGAAGTCATTACAGCTTTAGTCTGTGCAACACCAAACCCTGGGCAGACAAAAGCAAAATCAGGACACTTGCAGACCATTTTCCTTACAGCAGCCTCAATACAGGTGTCCAAAAAAGCAGCAGTACAGATTTCTGTGTAATCCAGTACCAACCAGGCTTCACGCACTTCTGGGAGTTGAGAACAGGATAATTGAAAAGAGGTAACTGTGCCTGCAGACAGGAATGACACTGCAGTAAAAACTACACCCACCTACTACATTTATTCATGTGTAAGCATCCCCCAGTGCAGACTCACACAGAGCCAAGCCCTGGGAGGAGCAACATCCTGCTCTCTGTCCACAGCTCATGACTTCTTATGTACCTTTGGATATTTAGTGTTTGCCTCTTCATCTAAAGGCTAAAAAATAATGCAATTCTTCTGACTTTGAACCCAACAAATAAAACCAGGCTCTAAAGCTTGGTGAGATTCATCAGGGCTTGCATAGGTACAGGAAACCCACAGTAAACAGTTCTCTTCATTAAATGTCTGATATAATTTAATGTAAACATTTCCTGTCTGTTTCAGTCTCCCTACACCACTCTCTTGGTTTTAATTGCTTTTTATATTTAAACTCGATATTGTTTCTAGAAATCATTCAATTTTAAAATGTTTTGGCCTTGTACAGCCTTCAACAAAACTCCTGTTTAATTACAGCAAGGCAGGAGAGAGAAGCATGAGAGCTATTCTTCTACTTGGGCACCACCATTTCAGAAAAATTACTGTAGAAATAAAGCTGGAAATGAGCTTTTGGAGACTGACAGAAAAAAAAACTAACAAAAAAATCAACCCACAGAAAGAGTCAGGATAAGAACAAGGGTAAATCACAGAGTCACAGCTTTAAACCTCTGAGATTTCAGAGCAGAAGGAAGGAAGGGAGAGTGGAAGCTGTCAGGGGTGCTTGGTCAGCTCCCTTTGTTGAGCTCCCAACTGCTACTAAGTTGGGAAACAGCAGATGCAACAGTTTTTCACTGCAAAATCTTTCAGGAAGGAAGTTCTAAGAGTACAGCAACATGAGAGTTTGAGAAGCAGAAAGTTTGCACTTTTAGAGGGAAACAGGCAGTGTTTACCCAGTTTACTTACCCAGTTTGATGACAAAGTTGAGAAATTCCCCAGTGAGAAACTAGGAAAGACCGACAATAATTTATTAACACCCTCAAATTTGAAGGTGTAAAAGCATCTAAAGCTACTACATTTATATCTTATATCACTGCTCACTTGCATGGGTTAGCTTAGAGTTGAAGGGTAAGTGGTTAAAAGGTCTTGGTTTAAAGGTAGTGAGGAATGGTCAAAAAAGTGAGGAGAGATGAATAACAAAAAGGGGGGTTGGAGATGAAAGAATTTTTCTTTGATAAAGCTGCCTCAGTCTGGATGAGAGAACCACATGGAGAACAGCCACAGCAAAGCTCAAAGAGAAAGAAGGTTGCTCCCTGGGAAGATGCTGTACCTGATACTGCTGTGCCAAGGCAAAGTCTGGCTTTGCAAAGGCTTGCAACATCAGATTGGTTTGTCGGCCCAAATAGTTGTATGTACTGTCAAAAAAACCAACCAAAAATAGAATTGGTGAATGCAAAGAAGGAACTTAAAACCTGTGAAACAGAAGAAGTAACCACAGGCTTTTGCTGTTGACATTGTCATTATTAGGAGAGAAATTAGTGGAATTTATGTGGGGTGCAATCTAATGTCAAGCATCTGAAGTATGCCAAGCTCCATGGAAGAATTAAGAGAGCTGATTTCTCTTCCCAGTTCTTTCCAAATAGAACTGCTTTCCAAAACTAAAGATAAAGGTACATCACTGGGCAATAAGGGAAGTCAATCACCTAATTTTCCAGCTGCTTGTTCATTTAATGGATTGCCTAGATGGTATCACACAGTAATTCATCTCACCAGCCTGATATGAGGGGCAGAGGATAAATTAGAAATTAAACTTAGCACAGCCCTTTTCCTCACAGACTGCTCATATGAACTAACAATTTTAACCTCTCTGGGATTTGGTTCCTCACCCAATGCAGATAGAAGTGATTACCTACTTCAAAAGTTGCCAAGAGGATAAAAGTACATTGAAACCTTTGGGTCAGCTTAGAAACCACAGCAATGATCACCCAAAGGAACATAATCTGAGATCCTGGGTTATATGACTGTCCCATCACTAGGACTGGGGCTAGATTATGTGTCTGTTTGCTTCTGTACATCCCTATCCTGCAAAATCTTCCACTGCTGTGGCTGAAGACAGGGAAATACTATACAGATGTGAAAGATAAAACAGCACAGTGTATGTGTGAGGGGAAGGAGTCCAAGACATACTGACCTTCCAACTGCTCCATTTGCCCCTAGTGCCAGTGCACCCAACAGTTGCTAGTTTGGGGTGGAGGGAGGAAAAAAAAGTAAAAAATTTTTACTTCATGTAATAAAATAAAGGAAAAAAAGGGGTGGTGGGAGGGAGCAGCAAAACTGCCTTGCACTGAGTGTCCAGGGTTACTTCTTCCCCAAGGCTGAAGCAAGAGAGTACCTTAGAAGAAATTACTTTTAAGAGAAGCTTCTTACCTCATCCACCCCATAAAGAAATTCAAACTCCCCTGTTCCATTCTTGTGGATGCACTGTGCCAGGTCCAAGAGGTCCGTGTCACTGAACTTCACACCCTGGAAGGTGGGGATCTGTGTTTTTATCCCATCCAGCAGCTCCTCCACACGAACTGTGAGAACAGCAATCTCATATGAGGGAACTCAGGCCTGTTCTGGGACAGTTCCCTGCCTTGTCCCCAAGAGAAAGACTTCATATTTTACAAGTTGTTCACTTTCAGCCTAAGCCCAGTAAAGTGTACAGCTCTAAAACAATGAGTAAGACAATGAAGAGTAAGACTCTTTTACCAGATCAGAAAAAGTTTAGAAATGAACCAGCAACAACACATTTAAGACTAAATATAAATCCATGCTTTCAGAAACACCATATAACCTGCTTTCCAGAGCAAATCACCCTAGATCTGTACTCTGTACTTACTCTTCACACCCGTCAGAGGAGGAATGTGATAGTAATAAAATGGCACCTCAGGGGCTTCAGATGCAACCTTCTGTAAGAAAGCAACCAGCTCATCTAGAAGGAAACCAGCAAGGATCCCATAAGAGAAGGAGACCATCCATAGGGAGACACAGTTCAGATTCACAGCACAGGGGCTGTGGAGAGGCCTCAGCTTGTGCACACACAGAGCAAGTCATACAAAACCCTTCACATGTCATAAAACATTAAATGTGACGTAAATCAGGGGAGGACCTTAAGAAAGGCAAAACAGTATTTCTTTTAAACCAAACCAGTTTCAGTAGCTCCTGCTCATTCTCTTACAGGTGTAACTCAGGCATGCTCTCACATGTGCCAGACCTGTGTGCCAAGTGGCCTCAGCAGGATCCCTTGTGTGCCACAGAGGACAAGGGATCAAGTTCATGTTCACCTCCCTGGGGTATGGTGCTTTCATATGAACATTTCCAATCAGAATTCATTCAGACAACTTTTAATATTTCTTTTACAACCCCCCACTTCATGTGGTTCTTTTATGTTATTGTCAGGAACTTAAGGACAAAATACTCAGTTTGCAAGTTTTGAGGTAACCTCAGACAGACAGAACCAAACCTGATCACCTCAGTAACAAGAGCCACATCTGTGTATCAGCAGTTGCTTAATTTGGTCAGTGCCCAGCAAGGGCCACCATGGAACCAGCTTCTTCCTAGTGTGGCCCAGATCAAGCATGAACACCAAACTATCCATTCAGAACACAGACTAGTTAACTAGACCATTCTTTCCAAAAGCAATTCTTCTTCTTCCTCCAAAAGGCTAACAAAATACATCCCAAAAGGCATCCTTCCCATTTCTTACCAGGACAATTCTGCTATCCCTCCTCTTTAAAAAATGCTTCTTGCAGGTTTTGCTTTTCCATTACAGTTGTGCAAACACTATGATCAGAATATATTCCAAAGAAAGTACATTACATTCATCCTTTATCTGTGACCAATGTTGGGAAGGCAATAAAAAGACTTCATCAATCACATCTACTCACCTTTGTTTGTGGGTTTGAAGAAGAAGGGGGCTATGACAGCAATGCCATCAGCACCTATGGCTGCTGAGTGTCTTGCCTATAAAAGACAGAGTGGAAGGTATCTGAGGGTACATCTGCTTCAATTTATCACACACAGAGTGAAAAATCTATACACACCAGCTCTTGGCACTCTGGCAGATTCAGTGCTCCCACATGAATGATCACGTGGTCCAATCTGCACAAAAAAAAACAAATTCAGAAGATTTTGGGGAGGTTTCAATGATGGTGAACTACCAGGCTGCCAAAATTACTTGCTTCAGCCCAGGCAGCCACAGAAGAAGAACCTAAAAAAAGAGTTGAGCCTGGGCTGATCTGATGACCAGAAACATGGAGAAAATGCTGACAGTGAAAAGTGCTGGTGGTGGAAGAAAGAAAACACATTTGTAAACATGAATCACATGGGACTTCTTGCTGTAGTGCTTGCAAGGCTATCAGGAGGGATGAATCTTAGCATTTTATGAGGAAATTGAAATTAAGACATAAGGGATTTAAGGGAAGGCTGGGAAGCATAAAGGAAATCAAAGTAATATCTTTACTTTCTAAACCTATTTCTCTGCAAACCTACCAGAAGAGTTCAACCTCACAGCAGCACCTTTGACTGCTTGTTTGCTCCTGCAAAGGGAATCCTCCATGCTCCAGTCCATCAACCTCACTGCTGGTTTTCTCCTTTATATCATAGGAGACATGGATATAAAGGCTGTGGATCTGAAGGCTGTGATCCTTCACCCCAGTTTACTTCTCCTCATTATCCTTCTCCCCCTAAACACCTCTGCACATCCTCTGACCCAGCATCCAAGAGAAAGGCACAGTGAGGGGTACAAGGCTGTGACTGGTACAAGAAGGGGAGAATGAAGCTGCAACTGGATACACAGCTGCAGATCCAGACTGAATTCTTTCTCCTGTTACTAATTCTGTACCTTTAGGGAAGCAGTTAAGCACTTCACACCTCAGCTTCAGTCACATCAAATAATGTAATACATTAAAAGGTTCAGAAATGCTTTTTATTTGCATTTCTTCTCAAGAGGAAGCAAAGGGGATAAGCCCTTCTTTCCCAAGCCCTGTCTCATTCCCCACATCCCAGGGTACCAAAGAGAAGGACTCTCACAAGCTCTCTAAGCAGCAGGAACACACACCAGCTAACTGGCAGTGGCAAAAACATACTTCTGTGATAAAGGAGCTGGGGAACAAACAATACAATACTGAAAAGCAACACAATACTGAAAAAAAAAAGGCATCAGCACACTTTGTTTTGCAATCAGGCATTATTATAACATAAGATCTGGAGCCCCCATTTCCTCTCAGTTACTTACTTGTCTTTTCCCTGGCACATCCATTCTTCTGCCAACTGCTTCCTCTCCTGGATGCTAAGGGATAGGCCTTCTCCTGTTGTGCCATTCACTGTTTCAACACAACAAAACACAACACACTGGCTGAGGCCTCACCTACACACATTGGTTTCACTGAAGACAAGAATTAACATTTTTGAGTTTGGGAAGAATCATTCAGACCAGTCTTTTCTGTCAACACAACATCATCCATTCATCTCTGGGAATGTCACCTTATGAAGGCACCTTATTTTCTCCCCCACAGAAATGGGGTGTGGGCAAAACCAGATGCCTGCAGTCTTTCCATTGGTGAGCAAAAATGGCCAGGATGATCCCACATCCACATTCCCTCCCACTACAGCTCCTATTAGGTAAGATATCACAGGATTCCCATCCAGGTAAAAGGGCTGTGACACAGTTTGTCCTTACCAAAAACGTTCTTCACATTCTGCTCGTTTACCAGATAATCCACGTACTGACGAATCACTGGGAGGTTAATTTTTCTGCAATAAAAGGAACCACAGCAGCCATTAAGTCCCCACCCACTCACTAAGTTTAAGCTAGTTTAAACTTAGTGATTAAGAAACCAAAAAAAAACCCCAACATGTATTTTGAAGCCTTGCATTTGTACACACACAGATTACCCAGAGGTAAGAAACCCTTGACATCTGTTTAACATCTGAAGGTAGCAGCTCAGCCTTGAATTCTCTCTTGCAGTTTCTCTTCCTTCTGACAAGTAGTTCACTGTTCCAAACTTTTATTGGGAATTGCTGCAGGCTTGTCACAGCAAAGAACTTTTTTGGGAGATGTGAGAGAACAAGAGACACTAAAACCTCTTCCTCTTTTGAGGGAAACAAGAGTCCTCTTGAGAGCACAAAGTTATTTGTGCAAGTGCTGGCAAATGGTTAAACTGCTGGATGGTTGTAACTGCTGGATACAGAGAGGGAAACGGCATCCGCTGGATGTGACTTTGACCTCTCTCTCTCATTAAAGGATGAGGAGAGCAACAGAATTCCCTGGCAAGAGGGGAAGGAGAATTCTTGGGTTATCTTCTATGCAAGACAAATTTGTTTAGTTTACTAGTGTATAATTTTTCACTGTTATTTTAATTTGTCAAAAATACAGACCAAACCTATGGTCTGGAAGTCAATTCTGGTGCCTTGATAGGTTGTACACAACATTCAAAATTACATAGATGCTTTCCCAGAACATATCTGACAAGGACCATGCAGTCCAGGCAGAGGGTCAGGTCACTCTCTAAATACCATGTTGCAATACATTTGAGTCATAATTAAAAAAAAAAATCAGAAAAATAAGTTTCCTTTAAAGCAAGAATCAAAGCAGTGACTGCAATGGAATAAGTTCCCTGACTGGGATGGAGGCTTATTTTTCAGCTCTTGAAGTAAATTTCACTTTTGGAGATCTGTACTAGCAAATCTCCACCGTCTCTCAAAAGCATGTACAGATCCTGACACACCCCCCCTGAGAGCTCAGGGTTCTCTGCTGATTCCAAACAACTTGGTCTTGCAACATCAAAATGCAGTGAGGCTTCTGTTTGCCATGCCTGCTCTGAAGAAAGCTGAATTTCAAGTTTCAATTTCGTGTTATTTTCAAAACTGTGCCGTCTTTGCAGTATTTTCTTCAAATGAAACTAATTCTATGTACTCATACACACATGACTGCATGCATGACTTAGCTAAGATAGAGAGAAGTCTAAAAGGCCTTCAGATTCTGACAATTATTTTCTAGCTCTTGAGAGCTCTGTAACTAGGACTGTAATTTTCCTTAACAAACATGAAAACACTGCAATGCTCTACACATGTACTATGATTTAATTTGCACTTACAAAGCAACAGAAATGGAGATATGAGATTGATCCAAACTCTCCAAAGCGAAAGCCATAGTACTTGCTGGCAACAGAAGGAAGCAGAGACAGGGGAATCTCACTCTGGGACAAATTTAGTAGTTCCCCCAATCCCAGCAGAGATTGATTAAAAAAAAAAAAAAAAAGAAAAAAATAATAAAAAAAAACAGGCAAGAAAGCAAGCAGATCAGTTCCAAATAAGAAAGAAGGAAAACAGGGGTGGAAGAAAAGAATAATCAGTGCAACTTTGACAGCTCACCCGTCCGGAGTCATTGGAGTGATGGTAGCAGCTACGAGACCCTTTAACTTCTTTCGGGGTGCCATCGAGCTGTTTGGAAAAAAGGTATAAACGGGATTAGCATATCTTCTGTGAAAGGGTCAAGCCCCGTGGGCCGTGCAGCCGAACCCGCGGGCAGGAGGAGCGGCCCGAGCCATTCCCGGGGAACGGGAACGGGGGCTCTGCCCCGGCTCCCCTCACCTCGGCCGGCCGCCTCCGCCGCAGGGACCGGGCAGGAGGCGGGGACAGCGGCGGCAGCTGAGCTGCACAGGCACAGCCAGCCCCGCTCAGCCCAGACACACCCTCCTCATCAGCCCGCCCGTGTCCAGCCCATGCCCAGCCCATCCCCAGCCAGCCCGCCCATGCCCAGCCCATCGCCATCCAGCTGCCCATGCCCAGCCCATCGCCACCCAGCCTGCCCGTGTCCAGCCCATGTCCAGCCCATCCCCAGCCAGCCTGCCCATGTCCAGCCCGTGTCCAGCCGATCCCCACCCAGCCTGCCCTCGCCCAGCCCATGCTCTGTCTGCCCCGCGGCCCCCATGGCCCCTTACCGCTCATGCTCTGTGCAAGAGATAAGGCTGGTTTGAGGTATCCGTAATTATCTGCAAAGATAAAAATAAATAAATGAACATTTAAATAATAATAAATAACAGGATGGAGACAAAATCTGGGAATGATTTGGTTTGGAAGGGACCTTAAAAGGTCACCCAGTGCCACCTGCTGCCATGGGCAGGGACACTTTCCACTATCCCGGGTTGCTCCAAGCCCCATCCAGCCTGGCCTGGGGCACTGCCAGGGATCCAGGGGCAGCCCCAGCTTCTCTGGGCACCCTGTGCCAGGGCCTCCCACCCTCACACAGAGAGAGCTCTTCCAAATACCTCACCAGTGTCCTCACAGCCCTGCCGAGGTGCTGGAAGCACTCCCAATGACAGCAGTGTCCCTGCTCTGGGACACACAGACGGATCCATGTCCCTGTCAGAAAGGCAAACGGAGCTCAGGCTTCCTGCTCCTTGCATGCAGCCCAACATGAGGTGTTACCAGATGAGTCCACTGTGGAGTGTGGGCTCCATGGCAGTCATGCACAGCACAATCCTCCCCATCCCACCAGAACTGCAGCTGGGCCAGCATTCAAATCTGCTCCCAGCAGACTACCAGCATCCCCTAAGACAAGGTTCTGCCCTGAACAGATTCATAGCAATAAACTTCCAAAAATATTTTTTAAAATTGTCTTTAGTGTGCACTTTCAGATCTTCCATTAGAGTGTGTTTTGAGAGCACCCAGTGCCTGCAGAGAGAACAATCCCCTGTTGTGTGATTCAGGAGCACATTTTCCATGGATTCACATAATAACCTCAGGAGTTTGGGGCTGTGGTATTCCTCCTCCACGCCAAAATATGCTCACTGTGGGCTGTGTGCATGCAGAGATCACCCTCTGGGTTTCTGCCTTATTAACAGCTCCTTACAAAGCACATATATTTCCCTTAGAGGGTCATCTTGTTCCTCCAGAAATCCCCTTTCTCTACACTGCTCCATTCCCACAGGTAATTCCTCTTTCTCCAGGCTCAGTAATTCCATCTCTTGCAACCTCTGCCACCTCCCCAAAGCACCAGTGTATTTCTGGAAGTTCACAGACAATCCAGTGCTCTACAGAGCCATTTAGAGGAAGCCCTCAATATTTCTTTAGTATTTTACTGCAATTTTAGTGCTACTTCATGGTGTTGACAGCACAGGAGAGAACCTTTAGTGTAGCCTGGAGAGGTTTAGAGCTACTTAGACCCCTGTAGGAGTCACAGATTGGCATAAAAGGGTTTTAGAGCTGTTTTGAGCTCCTCAGAGGAATTTTAAAGCTGCCTGCAGGAGTTAAGAGTTGTACAGCAGAGATTTAGAGGCATTTTAGTTGCACTTAAAGACATATTAGTGCTGCTTACAGCAATATAGAGCAGCTTTAGATCAGTTTAGGGGAGCTCTGAGGGGCTGAGAAGGGGTTTAGAAGAGCTAAAGGGGTTTAGTGTTTTACAAGAGTTCTGGCACGTTTCACAGGACTTTAAGGCTGCTTAGAACACTCTGTAGGATGTTTAGATCAACTTGGAGCAGTTCAGAGTGGTTTTAGAGGGCTTCAAAAAAGTTTTAGCACTGTCTCTAAGCAGGAAATCCAGAACTGCAGAAAAGAGTTCTAGAGCAGTTGCAAGGAAACTGAGAAAGGCTTGAGATCTGTTTGAAGCATTTCTAAACGTCTTCTCAGCACCTCAGAGCTGAGAAGTTTCCTTCAGACTTTTTGTTGTTGCTGTATTAACTTTCCATTACTTTCCAATACACTGACCACAACTTAGCACCCCTGTCCTTTGCTTCTACATCCCCAAATCAGTTCTTTCTACTTATATACAGCTTTTACATCCGACTTTCCATTACTTTCCAATACACTGACCACAACTTAGCACCCCTGTCCTTTACTTCTACTTTCCCCAAATCACAGTTCTCTCTACTTATATACAGCTTTTACATCCAAGCTATCACATTTCTCAAGGGGACTTCTGGTTTGGTATAATTACACTACAGTCTTGTCTCTTTTTCTCTGCAATAAACAAATGGATCCAGACATATTTTTCTTTCAAAGGCAGACCCAAGTCTATTTCCAGAGAAATATGAAGTACTGAAGCCTAAATAAAAATTCAGAAAGCCAGTACCTGTTAAAGTGATGAAATTCTGTTAAATACCATCATGGCTGGCTGGTATTCAGAACATCAACTGGGGAGTTAATGTGGTATTATGTATGTATGTATGTATGTATGTATGTACCTAGCTACCTACATTTACTATGCTCTCAATCTAAATGTGCAAAAATCAAAAGAAATACTGACCTCCCGGATATTAAATTTTCATTTTAAATTATTAAGTTTGCTGTTGATTCTACCTGAAAACTTGCCAGTTTAACTGTTCTAGAGCTAAGCATAACCTGGAGGATTTTCCTAACTTAGCATTTTCTTAAAGTCTTACACAGACATTCCTTGACAGGGAGTCAGAACTATAAGCTCTTTAAAGTCCCTTCCAACACAAACAGTTCTGTGATTCTCTGATTCAGGTTGCTGTATCTGTCACATGAAAGATGCCTTAACATGCCAAGTCATTAATTTTTTAGCTGGTAAGATGCTTTCCCATTAGCAGTCAACAAGAGCATAATCCAATTTATGTCTCTGGAAATAGAAAGAACTATAAGGGTGCACTGGAGCCGAAGTGACCACTGGCACCCAAGAGAGGATCAGGGATGTTCCTGTTCAAGGAAAGCTCACCTCTGAACACAGCCAACAGTGCCACCTGCTGCAGAGTGCAGCACTGGCTCATTCTGGGGACAGACAGGGAGAGAGAGCAGGCTCTTGAAGAATCCATCTCTGAAAGCCTCACTCACATCATCTAAAAAACAGAAGTGCCCACCAAAAGCCCACACCCACTACCAATATCCCCACTGTTAGATGATGGGAGAGTTCTGATGTGGACCACACTCATGCCAGTAAGAGGAAGAAGAAGCTTAGGAGATAAACCCTCAGATCCAGTTACCTCTTCATGCCTTTTTGGAAGTGGAAATTATTTTAAGGAAAATATTTCTTTAACATATTAACTCCTACTCTCTGAGCCTGTTTCCATCATGTCTGGACGTGTTCTCAGGCTCCTGGGACTACATAGGGAAATCCTGAGCTCTCAAGGGCAATTTCTGCATATTAGGGTCTTTTTCAGACACGTGGGGCTGTTCCCACAATTTCAGAAAAACCCTTAAGCAGAATCAGGAGCTTAACCCAGGTCCTTGGCAGAGGAGCTGCCAGGCTGGTCTCAGTCCATGCAGCATACAGACTGGAGTAGGCTGAGAAATGAGAGAGAGAGGGAGAGAGGAAGGGAAGGAGGGGGCCAAAGCAGGTAACGAACAAGAGAAGGAAAAGATCACTTTAAAACTCTGGGAAGGGGGATCAAAGAAAGAAAATGCAGAGCCCACTGTGTTTCTGCCCACACAGCTGTTGCCTCTTCAGAGCTGTGTTTGCAAATAAGGTCTATTCTGTCACAGTTCAGGCTTAAGTCTCTTCAAAACCATTTAAAAAAGCAAAACCAGCAATGCAATAAATTTGTGTCAAGACTTTTTTCCTAGCAAGCACTGTTACCTCTTTCCCTTTATGAGACATTCCTATCTCTAAGATAAAAACTTACCTTTTTTCATGTTCTTGTTGCTGAGAAAAATCGGTCAATAACAGAATGTGGATAATTTGTAGGGGAAGATGAATTCATTTCCTCTCAGCACTCAGAGAGGACTGGAAGTTTCTGTGGGTCTAAGTAACTTCTTTCACTGGCTGAAGTTTGCTGAGACAATTGCTTGTGGAGCTCAGTTTGTAGCTAGATCCCAGAACAGATCTATATTAAAAACCAAGCCTTATTGTAGAAATAAACCAGTGAATAAAGCAGTACATACAGCTGAAATAGCTTCTCTCTGGGCTCCGTGCACAGAAGACAGGAAGGTTTAAGAATGTTTTCCATGGCTGCTGGAAGCAAGGATTCATTTAGGATTAATTCCCCAAACCTGGAATGGTTTCAAAATGTGAGCTTCAGCAGAGAAATCCTGGAAAATGCCAAGTCAGGAGTGCTCTGGAGTGGTGTTTGGTGTAGGAAGCTTTTTATTTGGCCAGAGCAGCCGGTTCCGTGTGTTCTCTGATGAAGTGAGCACAGAATCACTCCTTCAGCAAGATTTAGGTAACACTTCCACTGAGTAGGCAGGAAGATGCAGTAGTTTCACATGTAACTAACTAGCTGAAATTAGGCAAAAACATGGACAAAATCCACATGCACATTTCCAGAAAGCAGATGACTTTTGGCTGAAGGTGAATCCAATGGTTACAAATTCCTCTGCTGATATGAAATGTGAAGGTCAGAGCACAATGTCTAAATACCACCTCACTGCAGTTATGGCATAGATTTCCTTTCCACAGTTCCTAAGGATAATAAGGAACCTCCTTGGAACAGCACTACAGCACATTCAGCTGCTTCTTTAGAAGATGGTGTGTTTCTGCTTGTTCACTTTCCATGCTGGGAGTGAGAATATGATATGAAATGGAGGCTTTCTTTAGAGCAAGGAGGTAGGAGGCTTCTTTTGGGAGATGAATTTGCAGTAAACCACAGTTCATCTAACAACACAGAAGGACACTGCTGCTGCCCTGGACAGTAACTACAGTAACATCATGTGCTCAAGTCCTTTGCTGTGAAGTGAGGCTTCTGCACCATCAGATGAGCGTGTGTTTACAAAAGTAGAGGCCATTTATATGTGGAGAGACTTGATTCTTTTCAATTAAAATAATTGTCAAAGACTCTCTGACAGGCTTAGGCAGCAATGCAAAACTGCCTGGATCTTTGTGTTGAGACCACTTGATAAAATATGTGAGTGGCCACACATCCCTGTCTGCCCCTCACACCCCCACCCTTCACATCATACTACAGACTTGCCAGATAGGAGAACAGGACTCAGATATCATTAACCACACTGTTAACAACACCCTTTTTTCCTGGGTTCCTCCATTCCTGACACAATTAGGTCAGTGGAAAAGATCCCTGCTTGTGCACACAATCTGTGCTTGCCTCTAGGGAGAAAGGTAACTTAGAACACAACTGCACTGATGTGACAGCAGCAGCTGTAACGCTGCCACACAGCAGATGGAAGCAGTTTTGCTGTGGAGAATGTTGCTTAAGGTCTTGTTACAGAGAGGAAAAGTGGAAATCACAAGTGGTCATATCACAGGCTTGTCCTTGTCCTTATCCAATCAAAGTTATTATTTACGTACCAGTTCATTAGAGTGTTCCTGCACAGATGAAGACAGCAAAATTAAGCTACAACTTTTATCTGCTTGTGCCCCCATCTCTGCTCCTTAAGGCAAGAGAATAGGAAAATACTGCTTTGTTAGCTGTTCTAGAAAATGCCAGCCAAGTCCCAGACACATATTTATGACATTACACAGAGGTCAAAAGGCTCAGAACCTTTGAGACTCGATGGCTGCTGTGTATTTGACTTTCCTCTATTTGGAGGTACTGTGTGTCAGATTTATATACTTTGTATAATATTTGTCAGGCTGCACCATAATCCCATCCCTATTCTCTAAGTTTTGGAATGTATATAAACAGAATATATGTCCCCATGCCTGCCCTACTGTCTCATGCAGCTGTTGACATGTTCTCTCAATGTTTATGTGTAAAAACAAGAGTGCTGGAAAACAACCTCTTGGGAAAACACTGAGGATTGTTCTCCAGCCTGGGGGTGCTCCACCAGGAACAGTCAACTCTTTGTCAGGGACATCAGCTGGACACACACAAACTCACTGGGGGTTTGTTCTGGGCCTCTCTGCTTCAGAAACCAAATGAGAATCCACTGTGGGCTTGTCTTATCTACAGAGTTATTGCCCCCCTTCCCAGGCAATATTCCTCAGTGTTCACCACTGGGGCAAATTTGTAGAGATTTGCCAAACTATTGTTGCTGGGTATTGTTTTTCATATCTGGAGGTATTCAAAAACACTTCCATCCCTGGGGTGACAGGGTAAGGTGACAACTCACCTTACCCCAGCCCGTGACTTTGCATGCCTATGGCTCCTGGGTAAAGACCAAGCAGCTTCTGCTCCTCCAAACACACTCCTGCTGTTCCTGTTTGACCCAAGCAGAGCACAGGTAAAATGGAGAAATATTTTACTCTGTAAAATAAAAAGTACAAAGCATGCAGAGAAGTAGTTACACATTTCAGGCCTCAACCTGTTCGAATAAACTCCAGTAGCAAATGACTGTACTTCTTCTGTGGCTCTGGAGAGATTTGTGGCCTTAGAGATAAATTCACAATTGCTTTTTGGCATGGTTTTACTTCCCTTTTCTGAACAGGAGTGTATTACACAGCATCCTGATGAAGTTCTCAGCAAGCAAAGCGGGTTTCCTGTTAAAAGTCACTCCCAGCTATTGATGTAAAATGTCCCCGAGAGCTCAGCTGAATTTGGCTGCCAGGAATTTGCACAAACCACGACAAACTGAGAGGTGTTCTCAGAACACAAACTGTGCAGTTTAATCTGCCCTATTGTGCTGGTACCAAACTATGTCTGGAGCTGCAGCTGGCTAAATGAAGAGCCCAGCTTCGCTGTGTGTATTATGAGCAGGACAGGATTTCACAATAGCTTTGTGTAACCCCTTTGTGCAGATATCCAAGGGCTAAGAGGGCTGATTAACCTCAAATACCGCTCAGAACAGCCAGCCAGCAGAGAACACTGTCTGTCTTTCATAACATGCCAGCAAAAATCTCGTGAGGATGGTCTCAGCAGAGTGTGCAGCCAGATTTCTACCTACCCTTCACCCCTGTGGTAAAAAGGAAAAGCTGGCATTCTGTACAGCACCACTCTCCCATAATCCAAGTCAGGAGGGGGGAAGAGACACATTATTTATGTGAAATCCTTTCTCCCAAAGCACAAAACCTGCCACTGACCCTGTCATAAGTGGGCACACAGCCATGGCAAACAGGGGAAGTTATACAAGGGTGCAAAACTGTTTATGGAGCCAGATCACACACTAGTCCCAGTGTTGCCTTGTGGATAGTAGGTGGGGCCTTTGGCATTTGCGTGGGGGCTCTCCAATGAGACCCAGAGCAGCACAAGGCTCCAGCCTTCTGGTTTTCATAACAGCAGCCCCCTCCAGTAGGGTTGAGGCATGGGAGGAGCTTGCCCAAACTCAAATAAACACTGACATGCAGCATCTTATGAGGATGTGCAGCCTCCACAGGACTCACTGCAACAGCTGGAAGGACAAGGACTGAAACTGTAAGTATGTCTACCTTCTCCACTTCCTTAACAGCACTAGTGGTTTGTGGAGTGGCATGTTCTGGCTGTACTTACTTGTGCTGCAGTGTAACCTGCTGCCTTGTTCCTTTGGCCCATGTGTTAACAGCTGCAGAAAATAAAGTGAACACCCTATAGACGTATTTATATGAATAGATGGACATTTCAAAGTTCAGCTTTCCTGTACATCTAAAAAAATTCAACTGGAGGATTCTTCTGTTTGCTTTATGTAATTTAAAAAAATATTTCTAACATGCAGTCATTGACAGTACTGGCCATAAAGTTACAAAATCCAGAGCTGAGAGGTCTACCCCATAACTATGGAAAGGTACATTGGGAAGCAGCTGGAATTATAGCCAGGAAAGAGAAGCCAGCTTGTCCAGTAGCTACTACAAGTGTGAAGCAGCAGCATTTTCTTTCAATTGTTGTAGGAAGTTTCAGTGTAATTGCTCATATTTGCTTCTAACAATAAGGATTCCTGCTTTATGATGCTTTGTTGATTTGTGAACACCATGAACAAAGTCTATTAATAGAGTACAACTGTGCAGCAGCCCCTGGTGACCATCACTCTGGTCAGGTCTGCTGGACATGATGTACCTTCAGGCTGGGACAAGGAAACAGCACCTGCCTTTACTACCAGCAGCTGTATCCAGCTGTTTGATTCTGACCTTCCCTTGATCTCTGGTGACAACTGAAAGAGCTGCTAGAAAAAGCTCAGCATTGAAGGGGCTCCACAAACTACTTATTTTACAGACTCTAAAGGAACCCAGTACCACCAGGGTTTGTGGCCTTTTTTTAATGGTGTGTTTTAATAAAAACTTTTCAACTTCAGATGCCAAGAACTCTTCGTAGTCACCTCTAGGCAGGGTACAGAAGGGGATGAATAGAATTCAAGAGAAGTCCAGGTATTGCAAGATGTAACAGCCAAGAAAGTGAAATAGCACAAGGTAGTTGATTTTATAAAACTCACATCATTACCCAAGAAACAGGTAATTGAGCTACAGTCTGAGAAGACATTCTATGTCCTAAGAATCCAGATAATCACTAAATTATGGGCTCTTCACGACATGACAGGTGAAGGACATTGTAATGTAACACAATTTTTAATGGTGTGTTTTAATAAAAACTTTTCAACTTCAGATGCCAAGAACTCTTCGTAGTCACCTCTAGGCAGGGTACAGAAGGGGATGAATAGAATTCAAGAGAAGTCCAGGTATTGCAAGATGTAACAGCCAAGAAAGTGAAATAGCACAAGGTAGTTGATTTTATAAAACTCACATCATTACCCAAGAAACAGGTAATTGAGCTACAGTCTGAGAAGACATTCTATGTCCTAAGAATCCAGATAATCACTGAATTATGTGCTCTTCACAACATGACAGGTGAAAGACATTGTAATGAAACACAAGGCAGAGACTGTCACAATGTACATCATACACTGCAGTCTGCCTGGTTAACAACAGGAGTCATATATGGAGGCCACTGAAATCTCAGCATTTTACCAGATCTGATTATTTCAACACTGGTTTTGAATATTTTCACTCGCTTTGTTTGGGACAGTGTTTTTGAGTTTTCACCTTTTTTCCTCCCATGTGAAGGCTATCAAGGAAATAGTTCTGCAGAAAATCTCATTTATTCACAGGACTCTGAGGCTAAAAGTCTTTTAAGAAAGCCATCAGCTATCATGAGAGGCCAAATAAAGTTAAGAGCACAGTCAACACCAGATCACCCACCACACCACTACTGCTTTTTCATCCAGGAGCAAACAGACTGAAGTCCTTCTGACTTACAGATTTCCACAAAACTCCCACTTGCAGGATCTCACTTTGCTGCCAGGAAATACCTTTTTGTCATGGAGAAGAAAGGGAAGTGTATCCTGAAAGAATATTTACTCCAGTAGAGGTAGTTTCTTGGTCCTGGTGCTCTGTTACTGCAGGGCTAAATGTCTCCAGCCTTTTTTCAGGCCTTCCACCAGTTCAGCAACACCTGAAAAGCCCTGGTGCCATGTTAATGTAAGAGATGCCAACAAACTGTGTCTGCCTTCCAGCTCCGGCAAGATGATCAAGTCCTTCAAGCAAACATTTCTGTCCCTGGACCTGCAGTCCCCTCGCTGGAGCTCAGCAGAGGCAATGGTAACTGCAGCAATACTTGCATGCTGATTTGGAAAAAGTAGCTACTAATTTCTGCCAACACCTATCTCATGGTTACTGTGACTTTTGCTACCTTTCAGGCAAAGGACTACGAACTGCGCCAGTATGAGACAGCCAAGTGGGTGAGCACAGTCATCAGGGGGGAAACCCAGAAGGAAGCAATGCGCCAGGGCTTCTGGAAACTCTTCCACTACATCCAGGGAAAGAATGAAAAAGGTAGGCCATGCTGGTTTTGAACAGAAAGAATTAAAAGCAGTTCATGAACACAAATAATAGAGCTGGGAAATGCAGCTTAAGATACCTGGTTTTCCTTTCCTCTAGAAATGAAGATTGATATGACTGTGCCAGTGACCTGCCTGGTGAAATCAGGCTGCACAGACTTCAAGATCTCTTTCTTTGTGCCATTTGAACATCAGGACTGCCCCCCCCAGCCCACTGACTCTGATGTGTTCATTGAGGAGCGGAAGGCAGCAGCTCTCTTTGTCCGGTAAGCAAAACCAGCACAGCTGACACCACAGAAATCCAGGCAGGATCTGCCCTCATTTAAGTGGGCTACACTTTCTTAAAAGATCATAAACTGTGGGTAGACCCTGCTGTTCAGAGCTTTAATTGCTAAAACCCACCCCTTAGGCAACCTTATGTTTGGGTGTCTTACCACAAAAACAAGTGACCAAGTTCTGAAACACTGATTTTTTAAAAGACGCTTGAATATCACATTGAGTTTCATAGAGATGCAGCCTCCAGAATCATCTTCTGAAGACAAGTTTTATGTAACATCTAAACTGCTCTCCCAGCACTTTTAAATATATTAAATTTTATATATTATTTTATATATCTATAGTTCTGAACTGCCACAGAACATACAGGGCAGTTTGTACTTGGGTGCTTGTTTTAAATCTTACCTTTGAAAACAAAGATCCATGCTGCTTCACTGCTAGTTCTGCATAGGTAATCTACTAATTACAAACTGCAGCACAAGTGCTCAAACTTGCTTTCCAAGTCTGAGCATTCTGTGAAAATAAATCCAGAGGCTTGGGCCAAAACATCTCCTTTTCTCACTTGTACCAGGTCCTTTGGCGGATTTGCCTCCCCAGAGAAGTATGCTGAGGAAGCTGATGCCTTGGCCAGAACCTTAAGAAACAGAGGCCAACCATTCCACGAAGACTTCTTCTACACTGCAGGCTATGACAGTCCCTTCAAGCTCTTCAACAGGCATAATGAAGTGTGGTATTTTAAAAAGTAACACCATGGGGTAATATTAAGAGGTTACTAATCAGCTCTGGATGAAAACAGACCTTATTATTGGCTTTTTAGTGCAGAAGAGATTTAATTCACACATGGACACAAGGTCCCAATTTATTTTGTCTAGGATGAAGTATTTTTCTGGATAAGAACATCCCCAAAATGTAATTAAACCTCTTACCAGCTGGAGTGGGTGAGAAACATAACAAACTTACTCCTATTGAAAGATTCTAAGCAGCACTAATAATGTGAAAATAAGCCTGCTGAATTTTATGTAGCTTTATTTCTCATTGCAAGTGCTACAGCACTAGTTGAAGTGTTACAGAAAGGGAGCTCATAACTGACCTCCATAAGCTGACTTCCCTCATATTGACATGACCCCTGAGACCAGGGAGGAATTGAAATTATTTTTTCAGAGAAGCAAGCTTCCATTAAGGAGCATTAGAAAGCAGAAACATCTTAGCAGGCCTTAGTGACTCATAAGTGTCAGTAACTGTTGTAAATTAGAATTATCACAATATCCCACCTCTACAACTTTTTCCCCCTCGTGAAGACTAAGTGTTGTGCTGTTTAAATCCAGAACCCTTGGAAAAGACCAGTCCAAGCTGTACACTTGTTCTGAGATCTGCACCTGAACACTTATTACCAGGATTACTGGTAGACTATTACTTTAGTAGCAAATACACAAGTAGTAAGTTTAGTTCTTTCCTTAAAAGACCTGAAATACTCCTTAAGTTATTTAGCTTTGTCTAAATACAGTCCCTGCACACCAGCAGCATTTGACGCCTCAGTTGACACTTGCAAGACTAGCATCTAGCCTAGTTTAGTCCCTGCTCTAAATTAAGCATTTTAAATTTAAATATAGCAGCCTGAGGTATTTTGCATGAAGTTGTTTCAGCCAGAAAGGAGGTCACAACACCAGGTAGAGTTTACAGATTTTTATTCACTCCAATCAACATCAGGCAAACATTACCAGTGAGGTAAAAACACACTGGCTTTTTTAATGCTGTTCATGCAAGTGTAACCCATTCATCAGCAATCTTCCACCTATTAAGACAGACATAAGAACTGTTATAAGGTATAAAACCAGCACAACACACTTGATAGGAACATCTCAGACCTTAGATTTCATCTCTGTTCAGTGAGAGAGTTCAAGGTAAGGTTATCATCACTTGTTCCAACAAATACATCATTACAGCAGTTACACTCACCTTCTCAATTCTTCATATGCCAGTTTGAGTTGCCTCTTCACCTAAATCAAGAAAACACAGTTAGCATATGCAGCAGAACAACTGCTAAAAGCTCCTCAACAGCTTTGTAACCTCAGACAGAAGTGGAACGGAAAGGGTAATATCACAGTAACTCATCTGGCAGAATCATTTTCATCAGTGGCTACAAATATTTCCAGAAGTTTTTAAATACAATTCATCTGTTGTGTGGACTTACCCAGTAAGACTGCAAACAGCACAGTCCTGTCCTGAGGAAGAAAGAAGTACTTTAAGAATAACAGACAGCAGCACTATAAAGTTTATTTATCTATTCATTTCTATTCACCAAACTTTTACCTAAAAGGAAACTGACTTTTAGCTGGCATCTTAAAGTTCAACTTACAACACCCAAATAGCATACACAAAGCTTACAAGTCCTAACTTAACTGGAAATACAGAATTACTAACATTGAAAGAATCAGGGAAAGTAAAAAGCTACTACTTTGCTTTGTGATACTGTCTGTCCCAAAAATGTTGTATTTCATGATTTTAAATAGCTAAAATACAAGTCCAATAGGTTTTCAAAATGGCTTCTATTTCTTAAAGTGTTTGGGGTGTTCCAGTTTGTTTGAAAACAAGTTTGTACAGCAATCATCTAGAACTTGAGCTAAATTTGTGTAGAGCCAATATAAATATTAGTATTAACAACTCTGAGAAGTGACAGCCACAGCATGATGTTTTTATTTTAATTCCAGAGTGCAGTATTACAGTAGTGCCCACAGAACAGCCACATAAAATAAAAGGAAGACAAATCAGGTATTTCATAGGAGTAATTTTGGGCACCACTATATAAGCATTCAGAACAAAGACAATATTCCAGGAATTATTAAACCCCATGTATTCTACACTTACCTCAGGCACATTCATCTTGTTTCTCCAACTCCATGCAAGCTTCACACTGCAAAGAAGGGAAATTGTACTAACACACTTTTGGCAGTGGTTTCAGAGTGTGAATGTGGGTACTGTTTCAGCACAAGAGTTCTCCTCAGCCTCTTTCAGAGAGATTCCCATTGCTTAGAATTCATCACAAACAGTACATGCCAAGAGCAGCTTAATGGTGTTATCTCTGTGACAAACCCTTTAAAGGGGGATCTGACCTTACTCCCAAGCACATCTTCATTCACTTCACCTAAGAGCTCTGATCTATCACCTAAGAGCTCTGATCTAACCATCTAGATAAACAAGATCAGTGCCAGTCCCTGCAAGAGCCCACTAAATTTAAACAGCAAGAAATTTAGTAACAGGTAATTGTACTGCATTTGCTCAACCCAGAATGTGTGGCAACCTGGTAGCGTGGAGTGTTTCTTATAAAATAGGAATTCAAGTAGACCACAGCAGTTACACATTTAAAATGGTCACCACTATTTCTTTTTAGTCACAGAAAGCAGTTTATTTTGAGATATGCAGCATCTTGAGGGGGAGTGAATCCTGCAGGCTGCTGGCAAATCCAGGCTTTTTACCTGGAAAAGGTAATAAAATCAAGAACCCTGCTTAATGCTGCAGCCAGCCCTGTAACAGCCAGGATGCAGTAACTTCCTCATTCCCTGTATCACACAGTCCTGACCAGTCACAATCATGTGTTAGCAACTTACTTTTGCTGGCAGCACTACCAGGTCCCTCACGTCCCAGTTCCATCACACCTGCATCAAAGCAAACCATTAGGACAGTACAGAAACAAGCACAGAAGGACAAAACCCAAGTCAGGTGCCTGCAGTCAGATAGAGCTAATTACAGACCTCCATGATTGAAGTCAAGGCAGTCACATCTCATCACACAGGCAGCTCACACTGTCAGCCCTGTGCAGCCCTGCCACAGGGCTAGGCTGCTATGGGCAAGAGGGCAAATACTTTTAATGACAAATTCAAGAGGAGCTCACAGTGATGAGTTTAGTGCACACCAGTCTGTCAAGACTGGGCTCCCCTTTAAAACATCCTCCTGTTTTGGCTGAGATGCAAGCCATGGCCAATGGGCCCCATGCCCCCTAGCTGACAAGCAGTTAAAAACTTATGGGCCTACGTTGAAATCCTAATACTTGGGAAGTAAAAACAAGTACTTACCTCACAATGAGAAACATTTGGAAGCCTGCAAAGAAAGATTGGCTATTAGGCAGTGTCCAGCAGGAAGTTATAGCATTAAGAACAGTTTGAGTGAAGTACTGTATCAGGGTTTGGTAGATTCCTCCTCATGGGGATCAGAGACCTGATTCAACATCATTTACAGTAGGCTGCAACACTCCTATCTCCCCCCTTCTGAAGGCAGACTGTAAAGCCATCCCCAGCACTCTTCAACACTGAAGGGTGTTGAAGAGTTTATTCCTCACACCAGAGCATGCTGAAATTGCAGAGTTCAGTGACTCGAGGTTTGTGCACCCACCATTTGGGACACAATTCACAGTAATGCAGCATTCACAATTTAGTTTCAACAGCCCAGAGCATGCTGAAATTGCAGAGTTCAGTGACTCGAGGTTTGTGCACCCAAGTCGTGCATATTAAGCAAAACCATTTTGGACACTAAATTCACAGTAATGTGGCACTCACAATTTAGTTTCAACAGGAAAATTCTAGAGATTACTAACACCACAATTATTTGATGCTCTTACTGTGAAATACAGGAAGCTGAAGGAATGCTTACAGTACTAATCTTTGCCTCACACTTTTTTCAGAACAAAATAAATTTGCAAGCATCTCTAAAAGCAAACTCTCAAATGCAGCACATACAAAATTAACATCCATCTAAGAAATTAAGGCTTACTGTTAATCACCTTGAATTAGGGAGGCCTTGTATTCACCCACATCAGTAACAGGCGCAATGGTTTCTCACACCAGAGACGTGGGGCTCCTCTGTTGAGGGCAACCTGCAAACCAACAAGAAACTTTTAGAACCTGGAGCACTAACACCTCATTAACCTTATTCTGCTATATTTTGTGCTTGACTTCACAACCACATTCTACTCTTAGCTTTCTATTCATCTTGCTAAGTTTTTTGATGCTTAACCCACTTACTGGTCTCCCGAGATAAATTTTAAAAACACATTCATAGAGCAAAAAAAATGTATCCCCGTTCAGCTTCCCACATGATTTGTTTGAACTAGCCTAAGTTACAGGAGGCTGCATCAGAACTAACTGTGGTCACCACAGGTCATCTGCTGAACTATGCACTCATCACACAGCAGCCTCTGCAGACGGCAGGGATTAAATGAGCACTCACAGATGCCAGCAATGCAGTACTTACCCTGCAACAGCTCATAGTTTAATCTCCCAGTGCCTGCAACAATAAAAAACAAAGTCAGGTCCCGTCAGCCTTTGTGCCCAAGCCCACAGCCCCTACTGGGGGATCACAAGAGCCAGATACATCAGATAGGGGCGAAGCATTTGAGTGTTCAACACAGCAGATTCTGCTGAACTATGCAGTCATCACTGTATCTGCTCTGTAACCAGAGTACCAAGCAATCCCCTCGTGGGACTACTCTGACAAGTACATTTTCCCAATTAAAAAATAAATATTTAGAAGTTTGAATACTAGCAAGTATAAATTGCTTCTGGTCTTAGTGGAAATGAATCATAAAATACATGCCATCCTTCTTACTGCAGTGTTTTAACAGCTCTGTGGAAGACACCTCTACATGAAGTACACATTTCTTACCAGGTGATGATGTTCCTTCTGCATTGCTCTGAAGTGCAGGATTCAAACCCTAGGAGTAAAAAACTTGTGAACAGTCTATTCAGCAGTCAAAGCACAGAGGGGAATTTAAAGTTGCTGTGCCTCAGAAAACTGTAATGGTGGTAAAAGTGCTCATCACTCTCTTGGTCAAGAGTAGCAAATAAGTGTCATCACTGTGGCACCAGGGATAATAACTTTACACAAGGAATGCTCACAGCATCAGAGCAGAAGATGCTGTCTACACAAACACTAAGCACAACTTTAAATTTAACTTTCAATGATCATTTCTTACCTTGGGAAGAGGAAGTATTAGGTCTCCACATTTGGGGGCAAATCTGAAAGAGATAAAAGACTTGCATGGAGATGTTTGCAGAACTAGAGAGCCTCTTTGGCAATCACATGAGAAAGCCTCAGCATGGAGTTTTCAGAAATCACTTCTGTCCACTACTCTTAGACTGAAACCATCACAGGCTTTGAGATTTACTGAGCATCAACACCCATAGTTACCCATTTTCTACAACATACTCCAGGCAGTTTTTCCAAAACATTATTCACTGCTGTGAACAAAGAAACAGCAGTAAGAAAAAAGGGACCTGGGGTACTCTTTGCAGTCTGGTTACAGCATGAGCAGTAGTTCATGAACAACAGCAGCCTCATCAAGACTCTCCAGGACAAATAAACTGATGGCTTGTCCCAGCAGAAAAGTGAGGCCTGCCAAGACACTGCAGGCAATGCCTCAGTTACAGCTGCTGATACTGCAGCTCCCTGATACAGGGGTACTCAGGTCCAGCTGCTGCACACAAACCCAGCATTGGCTAATTTCAATCCTGTATTTCAGAAGCAATATTTACCTGCACTGAAGCCACAGGAAGGCAGCGTGGAGCTGATACATGCTGAACTGAAAACAAGAAAGCATATTAGTTTTTCTTCTTCCAAAAAAGATGCAATATTCACAAATATTACTTTGAGAAATCCAAGCAACACCCAAAATACTTCGAGTCTTCAGATTTCCCCTGATGCAATCTAAATGTTGGCTCTTTAAAGAACTGAGGCCACAGAAATAATTGCTACTAAGTATTTTTAAGCAGGATGTGACTGCTACACTGCTTTGTTTCCTACATGAACTCCGGTGTGTTATCACCGGGGCAGCCAGGCAGGCACGAACTCCGGGGGCTCCAGAGGCCCAGTGGTGTCCCAGCCTTCCCGGATCAGGCTCTCAGAAGTATCCCACGCCCAGCTCAGATATGTTGGCATTCATCACCCTCTCAGATGTCCCTACCAACATAGTTCTCATCACGTGCTGAGCATTCAGAAGCCAAGTGAGCCATTCCTGTTTAAATGTGCCGAGTCAGGACTCACAGGGACCACGGGGTCCAGCTCTCAGAGGCACAGGCAGAGCCGGGGCGTGTGCCCGAGCACTGCGGGAATGTTTGCCCAAGTCGGCAGCAGCGCTGGGGCTGTGCAGCCAGCCCTTAACCCTCCCACAGAGCCCAGCTCTGCGGGGATCCTCAACCCTTCCACTACACTTTACACAACCTTTCCCATTTACCTGCAATAACAAGCTCCTTAGAGCCCAGCTCGGTTAAAAGAATCCAAACCCACACAAACCTATCGCTTGTGTTTGCAGCGGAGAGGTGACCCCGGCACACTGCACGGCCCCGTGTCAGGCGGAGCAGGCCAGAGCCCGAGACCGAGTCAGGACTCACAGGGACCACGGGGTCCAGCTCTCAGAGGCACAGGCAGAGCCGGGGCGTGTGCCCGAGCACTGCGGGAATGTTTGCCCAAGGCAGCAGCGCTGGGGCTGTGCAGCCAGCCCTTAACCCTCCCACAGAGCTCAGCTCTGCGGGGATCCTCAACCCTTCCACTACACTTTACACAACCTTTCCCATTTACCTGCAATAACAAGCTCCTTAGAGCTCAGCTCGGTTAAAAGAATCCAAACCCACACAAACCTATCGCTTGTGTTTGCATATTGCACGGCCCAGTCTCACGCGGAGCAGGCTCGAAGGCCAGACCCCGAGATATCACATTACACCGAGCCGGTGCTCTCCCAAACCCGTGTGGGGCTCCGCAGGACCCGCCGTGTGCGTCCCCAGGGCCGCCATGCGGCACAGCCCCGGCGGCCTAGGCCGCGGACCAGGCCCGGCCGCGCAATCCGCTTCAATCCTCCCTCGCCACTGCCCATCGGCGCCCAACCCGCACCCGCGGGGCCTCCAGGCCTCCCCCCGGAGCGGCAGCACCGCACCCCGAGGGCAGGGTTGCCCCCACTCACCAGCGGGGCCACACGAGAAGCACAGCACCCTCATGGCTGCAGGAGCGGAAAGGGGAGAGCGCCTCCAGCGCGTGCCTTATATAGCACCGGTCACGTGGCGCGGCCGCGGCCACGCCCACCGGGGCGCGGTGCGCGGGCAGGGGCGGGGCGGGGGCGCAGGGGGCGGCTGTCAGCGGGGAAGGAGCCGCGGGCCCCGCTGCAGGAGGGTCGGGGGCGCCGGGGCCGGGACAGCGGCTCCGGGAGCCGGGGCCTGCGGGAGGGCAGCGCCGCTCGGGCCGCGCCGGAGTTGTGCGTGGGCTCAGAGCTGCTGGAGTCCCGCTGGAATGTGCGAGCAGCCAGAAGGGTTTGTTGGGGAGAAGTCGTTCCTGTGAGGGTGGCGACGCCCTGGCACTGGGAAGCGGGGCTGCCCCCGGAGCCCTGGCGGTGCCCGAGGGCGGGGGCACGGGGCTTGGAGCGGGCTGGGACACTGGGAGGTGTCCCTGCCATGGCAGGGCTGGGGTGAGATGAGCTTTAAGGTCCCTTCCAGCCCAAACCATTCTGGGATTCCAAGCAGCTCTCTCTGGGACCAGGGACAGGCTGGAGTTTTGTCAGGGCAGGTTTAGTCTGGCTGTCAGGGAAAGGTTCTTCCCCAGAGGGTGCTGGCACTGCCCAGGCTCCCCAGGGAATGGGCACAGCCCCAAGGCTGCCAGAGCTCCAGGAGAGTTTGGACAACACTCCCAGAGATGTACAGGGTGGGATTGTTGGGGTGTCTGGGCACAGCCAGGGGTTGCACTCAGTGGTCCTTGTGGGTCCCTTCCAGCTCAGGATATTCTGTGAAGTTGCCCAGTCACAGTAAATGTCAGCCCAAAAGCTGAGAGTTTTCAGTGCAGCTTGCAGGGTGACATCATCTGCTGTGGTTTGTCTCTGCTTCTTACCTGGTGGGTCAGGAATCCCACCCACTGCTGGTGGCTGCCTCAGGGCTGGAAGGCATTTGCTGAGATAAGAGTGAGCCTCAGCCCTTCAAATGGCATTACCAAAACAGTGTCTCAGTGTGCTGTGCTGACTCAGCTCAGCTGCTCCTAAACGTGGCTGGAGGTGATGGACTTCCAGAGCAGAGACAAATCAGGATGTCACTGCCCTGGGGCTGAGCTGCAGCACCTCTGAGAGATCCCTTACTCAGAGGGGCAGAAACCAGCCTCTGACAGGGTAGTTTGAACCAAAAGAGAGATTCCCTCTGCCCAGCCTCTGGGTGGATCATAACATGCCTTGGCACTGGGGTGAGCAGAGTTCTGTGGGTTATAAAGAGCAGATGGATTTTCCCTGCCTCTGGAGCAGGAGCTCACAGATAATTTGCTGGGCTCTCTGGGGAGCAGCTGCCTTCTCACCACAGCCATGCTCAGCAGTTAAGGTCTGATGATTTTCTTTCCCTTCTCTTTCTGTATATCCCAAGCTCAGCCTCCCTGTTGCCTCCCTGGGTGCTCGTGGCCTTGGCAGGGGTGTTTCACCCTTGCCTTCCTTGAGAGTGTACCCTGAGGCTTACTGCTTTGGGAACAGCTGTTTGGGAAGGTGGTGAGCTAATCCTGCTGCTAGATCCTCCAGCAGAACCAAGAATGACAAAGCTGGATATTCACAACTGCTCTTGGAAGAACCCAATTCCCTGCCCTTCATTTTTTCTTTCTTTTTACCTCCTAAAGGGGAAGGGGGCAACAAGTTTTCTTCTTACTACATCAGAAGAAAAAAAAGAAGGCAGGACCCCCATTTCCTTCCTGCTGCATGTAACTCACAGCACTCCAGGTAAGATGCTGGGTTTTCTGTTTCCCCTTGTTCTGTGCAGTGGGTGTTCTGCTCCCAGTGCTGTGCTGACACAGACCTGGGCACTGTGGGTTCCTGGTTTTTGTGGCTTTTGTTGCTTTCTCCAAAAGATGGGGAAGGACATGGAGCTGTTGGAGTGAGTCCAGAGGAGACACCAAGATGATCAGAGAGATGGAGAAGCTCTGATGTGAGGGAGGGCTGAGAGAATCAGGTGGTTCAGCCTGGAGAAGTGAAGCTTCAGGGTGACCTGGCTGTGGCCTTCCAGGGCCTGAAGGAGCTGACAGGAAAGACAGAGCCAAGGACAAGGGATGGAGTGACAGGACGAGGGGGAATGGCTTCCCACTGACAGAGAGTAGGTTTAGATTGGATTTTGGGAAGAAATTGTTCCCTGTGAGGGTAGAGAGGTCCTGCCACAGGGTGCCCAGAGAAGCTGTGGCTGCTCCTGGATCCCTGGCAGTGTCCAAGGCCAGGCTGGACAGGGCTTGGAGCAACCTGGGACAGTGGGAGGTGTCCCTGCCCATGGCAGGGGTGGCACTGGATGGGCTTTAAGGTCCCTTCCAGCCCAAGCCATTCTGTGATAGGGGAAGGAGGGAAAAGGCCCTAAGAGCTGGCAGTGTTCAGCTGCACCTTGTGAAGCTTTGAGCACTCCAGTCTGACTCCCCCAGGGACACGCAGCCATCCCACCACTCAGAAATCCCTTGGCACAGCTCCACAAGATTGACAGGCTGTCCTGCAGCTTCATGTTTAGTAAGTGGCTTTGCCAAGTTTGCACAAAGTCTGCTTGGGCATATGGACATGTGCTATGCTGCAATGTTCATAAATTCCAAATAAAAAGTCCTCCAAAGGCAGACATGCTCTTCATGTGCCAATCCCTTCGATTCAGAGATTCCTCAGAGTGGGCACTGTGAGCCTTGGTATTCCCAGCCTGCTTGAAATGGTTCTGACATCTTCAGGACTCTGCTCAGTCCACATTTCAAATGCTATCCAGCTTGAAAGCTGCTTATGCTATGAGTGGACTTTAACAAGCTTATTTCCTTTCCTTTTTTTTTTTTTTTTTGGATGAGTTTACGTCTCACTTTCATTCATTCCAACTTTTTTACCATATATGGTCAGGGCTTCTTTTCAAACTTTGCCAAAATAAGATGTGATGATGTGGTGATGCATCCCCCAGTCTCCTTCCCTGGCCCTGCTCTGGGATCTCCTGATAAGCCTTGGTGGACTCAGCTGAGTGGTGAAGGGTGCCCTGACTGCACCAGCTGGGCTGTGAGGTGTTCTCTGAGCCTGCCAGGAGCTCCTGTAGAGGTGGGAACAACGAGGAACATCCCAGCCAAGGTGGGAAACAAGGGATGAGCCATGTGTAGCCTGGGTGAACCACTGACCTGGATTGCAGCACCATTGGGAATTGTAGCCCACGTGGAACAATCCCACTATTGCTCCAGCTGGGAAAGAGTCCAGGAGTTACTGACCATGGGTATGGCCAGGATGGGACTTAGTGATGACCAGTGTGAAGTCTTTGGGACCCTACAAAAGTGATCCCGAGTGAGGCCTCTGAGCTCTCCTGGGCCCCAGCTTTGTTTCTCACTCTCCTGTTAAATATTTTCTGGCATGTGTCAGAAGTGCCACATGTGATGGGTGCCTCAAGTTAACAAAGCACTTGAGGCCAGATGTGTGCTGGCCAACTTTTCAAAAGTCTCAGGAGGATTTAGGTCCCAGTGTCTCCTTCCCAGTTCCTGTTTTACAAAGGAGCTTTCCCTATTACTTTCTCCTTTCAAGATGCTTAGAAGGTACAAGTGGTGAGAATTTTAATCCATTATGCAATCAGGTGCCTATTTTTAATAACTGTGCCATTTTTAGTGTTCTTTTCACATGCAGATGTGCTTTTATTGAGGCTGGCAGAACGAAGTGTTTTGCAGGCTAAAGCCACAGGGAATGGGGGTCTGTCGGGGACTGGTTGAGCAGAACTCTTGTGCAGGGGAATGCATAGCATGGAGAGATCAGAGAGCTTTTGGGATGCTTTTTTAGGCAATCTCAGACACACTCCTTCATGACAGAGCTGCTGCCAGGTGTGTGGCAGTTCAGTGGGTGAGGAAGGTCTCTAAAAACTCCAGTGTTTCAAACTGTGTGGAAGCAGGTGAAAAAAGTCCTAATTTCAAATGATTGGCTCTGCTAATGACAGGATCCTTTCCCCCTTTTCCAGCAGAGTCGTGCACCTGCAGCTGGGACAGCCATGGAGAAGAGTGGGAACATTCAGCTGGAGATTCCCAACTTCAGTAACTCTGTGCTGAGCCACCTGAACCAGCTGCGCATGCAGGGCCGGCTGTGTGACATCGTGGTCAACGTGCAGGGCCAGGCTTTCCGTGCGCACAAGGTGGTGCTGGCTGCCAGCTCCCCCTACTTCCGTGACCACATGTCCCTGAACGAGATGAGCACCGTGTCCATCTCTGTCATCAAGAACCCCTCCGTGTTCGAGCAGCTCCTCTCCTTCTGCTACACTGGCAGGATATGCCTGCAGCTGGCTGACATCATCAGTTACCTGACAGCTGCCAGTTTCCTGCAGATGCAGCACATCATAGACAAATGCACGCAGATACTCGAGGGGATTCACTTCAAAATCAACGTGGCCGAGGTGGAGGCGGAATTGAGCCAGACGAGGACGAAGCATCAGGAGAGACCGCCCGAGTCTCACCGGGCCACGCCAACCCTGAGCCGCTCCCTGAGCCCACGGCACAGCGCCGCCAAGGGGAGCCGCCTGGGCCAGGTTAGCACAGTGCTGGACATTCGGGAGCTGAGCCCGCCCGAGGAGTCCACCAGCCCCCAGATAATCGAGCAGAGTTCCGATGTGGAGGGCAGGGAGCCCATCCTGCGCATCAACAGGGCGGGACAGTGGTACGTGGAGACGGGCGTGGGAGAGCGCGGGGCGCAGAACGACGAGGAGGTGCGCGTGCTGGGAGGAGTGCGCATTAAGACGGAGAACCTGGAGGAGTGGCTGGGGACAGAGCACCAGCCCTCAGGAGAAGACGGGAGCAGCGCCGAGGAGGTCACGGCCATGGTGATTGACACCACGGGCCACGGATCGCTGGGCCAGGAGGCCTTTGCCTTGGGCTCCTCTGGAGCCAAAGTGGTCAGGCCCACCAGCAGTGAGATCGACAGGTGGGTTTCCTTAAACTTCGTTATTCATCTTGGCTCTAAGAGGAGGTTGTGCAAGATTCTGACCTGGCTGGGTCAGTCACTTTGGTACATTTCCTCTTTCTATTTCCTTTGGTCCTCTTTTTGTTTC